CCTCAGTTACTGGCTGACAAACAAAGTTCCCATCAAAAGACCCAGCACAGGTCTCCTTATGTATACACTTGCCACAAGATTCTGTGATGAAATTCACCTGTATGGATTCTGGCCGTTCCCTAAGGATTTGAATGGAAAAGCTGTCAAATATCATTACTATGATGACTTAAAATATAGGTACTTTTCCAATGCAAGTCCTCACAGGATGCCATTAGAATTCAAAACATTAAATGTGCTACATAATAGAGGAGCTCTAAAACTGACAACAGGAAAATGTGTAAAGCAATAAAGCACATTTTAAAACATACAAACTGAATATGCACTTCTTTTCTGAAGATGCTTCTGAAGATTGGAAAATAGGATCCAAAACATGGCTGGGTTTCGACATCCACCAATTAACTGAAAGGTGATAAAGGACGTTCATGACAAATCCACTACCAGCTGATGAAATACCTGCAAAGTGCTCTAAAAATTAAATATTTTGACTTCAAGGGTCCTAGTAAGTGCCACTTCCACTAAGAATACAGTTTGAATGTATAATCAGTAGTGTTTACAAGATCCAACAATGCGCTCATCATTGGTTAGCAAAGCAAATCTGTTCATCACTGTCGGGCTGCCACTGCAAAGCCAAGCACATTAGAAGAGGAACCCCAGGAACACAACTCAGCCCTCGGGAAGTTACACCATCCTCATCAGCAGGAATCAAGATGGAAACAGTTTGAGCAGTGAAATTTATAAGATTAAGCAACTCGAGTAAATGCCTTCAGTCAGGACTCTGAGTCTGATCATGAATTCTGTGTTTTTGTTTATGTTTTTGTTTGTCTTCTGGAATCTCTTTGGTTTGGGTATTGGGGTGCTTAGAAATGCTTTCTGAGATACATAGGAATGAGAAAAATAAACTTCGAGTAATCGTTTCTGAAGTTCTTATATTTTTAAAAAGCAATCACACAAAGACTTTTTTTTTAAAGTTTTATTTTGCACAACTCTAAACCTCCAGATTATTT